TATATGTATATGTATATATTGCTTAGCGTATGCATAATAATAAATAAAAGCAATGTTAATTATGAACTGATATTTGAAGGGGCTTTATAAGAACCCTTGATGCATCATCGTTACTGGGGTATTTTAAGAGTTACTTGATATTTGGAAAAATTAGATGGGCTGGGCACCGCTTTTTCTTGTTTGCAATAATACACTAGTTTCCTGGTATCTGAAAATTCACAATCCCCAGCATATTTTCAGGAGTGGGTAAGATTCGGGGAACAAGAGATGCCTATATTTTCTCTCCTTTTTGTCTCATTTTGATTTCTACTCATTTCTTTGTGTCAGGAAATGAGTAGAAAAAGTATTTCCTAAGCATATTACTTTTTATAGCTATGCCATAAGATATTTAGCCAATTCTTACTATTGAATACACTAAATAATTTCTGGTTTTTTCTGTGATGTAGGTAATGGCTCAGCAAGTATCTTCCTGCATAAGGACCTTATCTGGTCATTACTATGAGTTAGCTACTTTTTTTGCCTTACTCACCCAATAATTTTTCTGTTTCTTTTTTTTATGTATTAGGTACAGGGTCTCTCTACACAGGTTGGATTCATAGTGATCCTCCTGTTTTCAGCCTCCCCGGTGCTGGGATTAAAGGTGTGTTCCAACACACCTGGACTCAGTGCCAGCTCAGCTCACCCCGGAGGCCAGGCTGTCACAGCATGTGGATCTGGGGATCGAACCCTGCTCTCTGCACTTGCCAAAGCAGGTGCTTTAGTCCACTGAGCTATCTCGCCAGCCCAATAATTTTTCAAAAGGCATTGTTTTGTGAGTTTTTTCTAAACAAAGTTGTACATACATAAAAGATGTTTTGATGTAAATGATATGTTGAGCAACATTCTTAAAATGTTTTTACCTGAGGATGTCTTTGAAAGAGCCTTGTAGGCCCTGTGCCTTGCTGCTGTGTAAATTTTCTAAAGCTGGCCAAGCATTAACTAAGATTTACCAGGTGAATGCATGTGACATCTGAAATTATATTTTGTAAAAATTAAATTGTCTACTTTCCTGCCACCTTTCATACATAATATCTGTGTGCATTCATATATTTTTTGTCCTATGTTTGTGATTTTTTTTTTTTTCTTTCTCCTTCACTTTTTCCAATTGACTACAAGATAAGGAAGCTGCTTCTCAAAAAGTTATCTCTGAAAGTAGTAAAAATAAACAAAAGACTTCTTCAGTCTCAGGTGAGATTTCTTTTTTTTTTCCCTGACAACAGTGTGACTTAGTAAAAGTTAAATCTGCATGAACCCAAAGCTAGAGTACAATTCCCAGTTTAAAGAAAAAACAAAAAAGGCAGCTACACCATTCATCTGATGTAATAGAGATGAATAACAAGTTAAATATTCTGAGCTTTTTTTTTTTCTTAGTTTTTTGGTCAACTTTTAATTTTAATTCAAGCCTTAGTGTAACAACTACTGAGTTGTTATAATCGAGTGTCCCATACTACGTATGATAATGAGTTATAGTTTACACATGAAATTTAAATCAATTTAAAAAATTAATGTGTTACTGGAATTGAAATGCTAGAAAATAAGATTAGGCTCCTAGAACAAAAGGAACAGAATTACACTGTCTACTGACCTACATAGTAGCAGCCCTGTGCTGTATTGTGGAATAAGAAGCAAACAGCGCTTATGAAATGTAGATGTTAAAACATTGTAAGTGGCGAAATTGAGTATGGGCTGCCCCTATACTGAAAGCCACTGAATGGTACCCATTTAAAGAATATGACTTATATCTCTCAATTAAACAATAAAAGTAAATGACAACTATTGAAAATTTTAAAATATATTTATAGGATTATATCCTAACGTCTTGACTAAGTGAAAATCTTCAAAATAAAATAAACATGACTTAATATGTCTGAAATGAAAATACAAAATTTATAGCATTTTCTCAACATAGTTTTTTTTTTTTTTTTTTTTTTCCCAAGACAGGGTCTACTATGTAGTGCAGGCTAGCCTTTAAGTTACTTATGTAGCCAGGCTGGCCTCAAACTCATAATGATCCTCCTGCCTCAGTAAATTATTTCAGCAAATTATCAATTATTAACATCCTCAGCCTCAGCCTCGCAACTGCTGTAATTGAAGGTGTGCGCCACCACACTTGGCCTTGGACATAATATTGTTCTTGCAAATCATTCATATAAGAAAGGTGGCATCCAGTCTTCATTTAATTATGATTCTAGGATAAATTGCCCTTTTTAAAATAGAAAAAACATTTTTTGCTTTATTGATACCCATGAAGCATCTACTTACAGTTTCAGGAATATACATTTTATGGTTGTTACTAACTTCTTATAAAATTAATGATTTAGAACTTTTCATGGATATTTGTTGTTTGTTTTTGTACTGGGAATTGAACTCAGTATTTCATGCTTTCCAGACAGGCTCCATTCCTGGTTTTTCTTCTTGATTTTCAGAACATGAACCTTTGCATGATCGTCAGCGGTTGGTACCAGATATATATCTAAATATCAAACTTTCCACTGAAAGACCGGAGAAACCTCCGTCACCTTCAACACCTCATAAGGTAGCAAATGTGGTTTGTGTATTTAGAAGTCGTAACAGTAACTTTTTGCTCAAGTGTATCTTGGTCATCCAGGTGTGATACTCAGTTATATAGGTTGCATGGGTGAAATGATGTTAAAAATCTTCGTAGGAAAGGCCCAATATTAATTTATTATGTCCCCAAATACTGTAAACTAAACCGATAGTACATCTTGCAGCTTTTTCTAAGTTACGCCCATCCACGCTATTCTTGTTTATTACTAATACAGTTGAAGAATTAAACCTTTCTGGCAGACTGGCCATCCAAAGTGGAAATTATGATTGTTATGTGTCCTAACTCAGGTGGGACACTCTTACATAAAGGTGGTTGACATTGAAGCTGGTGATCTAAAGGAACTACCTGTCGGAGCAGAGCCCGCAAAGGAGGATGTGAGCGAGCCTCAGAGCAGTCCCCCAGACGTCCCTTCATCTGCAGAGTTACATTACCTGGCAGCGACAGTCAGCAGTGCCCTGGTGCCACATAGTTTTAAGAGTGAAGGTAATAACCTCTTGCCATATTTAAGATACATTTTGAAAAAGTATTTAGTATAGCACTGTTATATCTATGCACATCTTCTAGCTCTCCTCCTACAAACTCAGTGCACTTTTAGATATTGATGTTCACCTTCAGAAGTGTTCTTTAAACATTAATTACCTTATTTAGAAGTTTGGTGTTGTCTCAGTTACTTTTCTATCCTTTCTGGGACAAAATACCCAATACCCAGAATTAAGAAAGGAAAGGTGTATTTAGCTCAGTTAGTGGAGGTTTCAGTTCATACTTGGCTGGCTTCAAGGCAGAGAGGCACGTGGCAGAGGGCAGCAATTCATGATGGTGGAAAACAGAAAAACAGCAAGAGCAGACAGGAAGGGTAGCAGCAATAATGGCCACAGAGAGCGAGTCTGTCTCCCTTACGTTGCATTCAGGCTGTCTGCTCCAGGCGGGTATAGTACTTAGATCCATATTCCCTTTTTTTTTTTTTTTCATTTTATTGAGAAAGAAGTAGCAATGAGACAGTTTCAAAACAGGTTAGTAGGACAGTTACAATAATTAATACATTGCATATTGTTGTCTTTGTAGTAGTTATTCATAATACAAGATATAGACACGATATCTTGTCTAAATACTATTAGTTCAAAACTTTCTTCTCATTGAACTAAGAGAAAGTAGATGTATATCTATGCTAATTATTTTGTATATACAGATATATATATTTTTTTTACTACAAAATCGTCCTTCATTTATATCCCCCTTTCTCGTTTACTTTTGTCAGAGATGGGTATTCATGCCCTTCATATATTGTAGGTGCATGAATTCAGCAAAGTAATCCAATATAGTCCAGGAGTCCATAATAGTAGTGGGTTATTCGTAGGACTGGCAATGTTAGAAGTTGTTGACTTGAGCCTTTTACAGCTCAGCATATTAATATGGCTTTACTTTTCATACCTTGTTTTTGTACTTTTCTGCTGAATGGTTAAGACCAAGATAAAGCAAGACCTATATAGCAGAAAATTGAACTTTTGTATCTGACAAGGTCAGTCCCAACAGCACTCACACCCGTAATCCCAGCACTGGATCTGAATTAATCACAAACTCTAGAAGTCTACCCCATAAAGCTTTAGGGGTCTACTAGACACAAGCCATAACAGGTGTCAATCTTTGTATGCCTTTCATATTCTTGATAGAATCTGCCAATTCCACTGTGGATTTGTTTTTTAAACCTGCAAAAGTGGCTCCATCCTACCTGGAAAGAAAAAGCTGGAGAACAGGTGAAGAAGAAAAGGAGCCTGGGATTCCCTTGGCAGCACCCACAGACAGACAGCAGGACAGAGTTGAACAGCAGGGTGTGCTCCCTGGCCGGCTCTCTCCCTGCATTCCTGTCATGGTAGAAAGAGGTAGGAAAATGTGGCAAGTGCGAAGGAACCCTGAAGAGCAGCTTGCGTGCTGTCTTTCCTGTGATTGGGGAGCCCCTTTTTAGGCTGCTGGGAGAGAGGCAGAGTAGCCAGGTTTAATATAGGTAGAGGAAGATTACATGAATCAGCATAGCCATTGTTTTCTCATGGGAAGATTCACCTTAAAATGGGACTGAAAGTAACAGGTGATGTTTTTATTTATTCAGTGATTCACATTTTTCAGAGTAAGTTGTCACATAAGATGGTCTTCCCAAAATTTCTATATGGTAGAAATAATAAGCATCACAATCTTTCTGTGACCTTCTCTTTATTCTGTGGACACTAAGTTAGAGAAGAGAGACATGCCAGCTGTTAGCCCATGGGCATGCCTGTGGAGGAAAGAAGATAGATATAAAGAGGTGGAATAGGGCATGGTTGTATATGCCTGTAATCCCAGCACTAGGAAGGCTGAGGCAGGATTTCTACAAGTTCAAGGGCATCCTAGGCTACAATGTGAAGCAAGACCCTGTCTTAAAAACAAATAAAATAAAAGGGTAGTTATGATACATTGGTAAGGACTGTAATGGCCTTATAGGTGAGATTTGTAGGTACAACAGGATCTCACCTATACCAGATGTCTGAGGCCATTTAGAGGAATCATAAAGCAATATAGAAAGGGGGCATTCAGACAGAATTGGTTGCACAGTAACACAGAAGTTTGATGGACACTTTGGAGAAGCAAGATTATGTGTACCATTATCTATCACATTAAGGCATTTAGACTTCTAAGGCAAAGGCATTGGTTTTAAAATACAAGGTATCCAAAGGTTTTAGATAGGAAAAGAATACTATCTGAGATATGGTTTGAGGAGCTGTTTCTAGCTAGGCATGATGGTGTACACTTACCATCCCAGCTCCTAAAGGACCTGAGCTAGGGCAGTAACACATAGAAGGCCAGCATAAACAATTTAGTGAGATCCTGTCTGAAAATAAAAAGGGGCTAGTGTTGTAGTATTCTGATCCATGGGTTCATTACCCAGTACTGGGAGGAAAAAAATATTCTCCAAAGGCCTGTGTGGAAGGCGGACTAAATAGGAGATAAAGGGGTACTGTTTGTTGTCCATCTATTGCTTTTTTTGATGAGTGTATGGTTGGTTGGTTGGCTGGTTGAAAGATTGAGATAGCAGGTCTTGCTCTTAGCTGAGGCTTACCTTAAACTCACTAGGTAGATCTGGCTGGCCTTGAATTTACAGTGATATTCCTGCCTCAGCCTCCCAAGTGCTGGGATTACAGGCATGTGCTGCCATTGTTAGTCTTCCATCTGTTAAAACTCAAGTTGAGCAGTGGTGGTAGGAATAGAGGTGTTTAGGAGGCCAAATCGTGATACTTGGTATCACTTTGGACATGAAAGAAAGAGGCGAACCTTGATTGACCCAGGCCCCTCGTTTAGGAAATAGCTTGAATGGTATTGCCCTTTACTGAGGACTATGAAAGAGGAAACAAATCAGAGAAATGATGAACTTAGTTTGATATGCTCATGGAACAACCCAAGGAGCGCTCCATGGCTGTGGGCATTGTCTGTGCATCAGTGGCATCGCTGAGAGGAAGTGGGAAGAGTAAGCAGAGGTGAGAGCAGGGGCTGCCACTCAGAAAATGCTGCTGGGGGGCCGGGGAGATGGCTCAGTAGAATAAACGCTTGCCTGGCAAGCGCAAGGGCCTGAGTTCAATCCCCAGTTCTGCAAAAAAGAAAAAAAATACTGCTGGGTAAAGGGAAGAAGGATAGAGGGGTGGGCTCAGCAGGTAAACAGTGCAGCACATCAAAGAAGGAGCATGTCTCCAGCCTGCCAGATAGCTCAGCAGGTTAAAGCTCCTGTTTAGGCAGACGCAGAGCCCAGGGTTTCATCCCTGGGGTACTGTGCCGGCCCCACCCGCAGGGCGTGCTGAGATAGTGATTGAGACTGGGCATGGTGGTGCGTGCCTGTAATCCCAGCTCTTGGGAGTCTGAATACCAAAGAATCATTATGAATCCAATGTAGTGAGACCTGTAGACCCTGTACTAACTGCATTAAAAAAATGCACAAAGAAATAAGAGTAAGGAGAGCCCTTGGCTTTGATGCTGGCCCTGGGACACTTAATGTTTGCCTGAGACCCCACATAGTCACCACTGGACCCACCTTTTAGTGTGTGGTGGTGTTGGTTTTCAATTAGAATTTCAAAAAGTCATAAATAATAAAATTATTTTGTGACAAAGTATGCTCATAAAAGGATATAAAAGAACCAAACGGGCTGGGGAGATAGCTCAGTAGAATAAGTGCTTGCCTGCCAAACACAAGGGTCTGAGGTCAATACCCAGTTCTGGGAAAAAAAAAAAAAAAAAAAAAGAACCAAACCGCCTTGTAATGCTTTGTGTTATTGACATACTTATCAGTATACTGATAATTATCTAAAAGGACTTTTAACAACAAAGACAAATTTCAGGGGTCTAGAAGCTAAAACAATTTGCAGATACAGTAAGTTAAAACTGGTTTGGAAAATAATGTGATAACTGACTTGAATTAAGTCATCAAAAATGTTACTGCTATGTCTGTCTCTCCCTTAGTTAAAATCAATTCTGATTTTGCTTTTCATTAATACTTAGGTCTGCCTAAACAAGCATTCCAATTCAAAAGACAAAGCTCAGAGTCCGACTCTGTGGAAGGCTCTCTGCTAAGGACCCTGCTGCAGGACGTCCCTGCAGCTCCCGCTGCACCAAGCCCTGCAGCCCAGCGACTGCAGCTTCTCACTGCTGAGCTGCAGAAGATTGACGAGCAGCTAATGGCAGTGCAGAGCATTGCAGAGAACATAGAGCGGGATTTCCCCAGACCAGAAATGGTAAATCCACAGCGCAAAAAGGTACTCTATTTTTATTCTTAGTTTTGTTGTTTGTAACTGGGTTGTTATAATGTAATGTTATATTATTTTGGTCTTTTGAAACTATGCAAAATTTGGTTTATAGCAGCTAGAGTTTCTGAAAGTCTTATCAACATATGGACAGGCAATACATTTTTGGGGAGGAGTGCTGGGGAGCAAATCCAGAGTCCTTTGCATACTAGGGAAGCATACTACCGCTGCACCACATCCCCAGGACAGGTAGTGACGTGTCATGGGAGACTGTCCCATACACTTAGGGTACTTAGCAGCATCCCTATTCTTTTCTCATTCGTTCGCACTAGCACTCCCCTAAGCTGTAACAATCAAAAATATTTCCTCACATTGCCATGATTCAGAGAGCGCCAAAGTCAGTCCTAGGTGAGATCCACTCCTGGAAGCTTTAAGAGGCATGGCCCGTGCTTCCTAGCAGGAAAGAAGTCCAGTTGTATAAATTATAAAAACAGTGTGATTTTAAACAAACCCTGCTAGTAGTTGAGTATCATTTTTTTTTCTTTCTTCTCCTCCCCCTTCTCCTCCTCCTCCTCTTTTTTTGTCATTTTGAGACAGAGTCTCCCTGTGCAGTGCAGGCTGACCTTGAGCACGCTTTGTAGCCCAGGTTGGTCTCAAACTTGAGTGCTGGGACAGTAGGCATGTGCCACTAGCCAGAAAGTACCATTTTCCTCTGAAAGATTTTTATATCTTTAAAAATACTGTTTGGCCTTGCGCCTATAATCTTAGCCCTCGGGTGGCTGAGGCAGAAGGATTGCCCTGCGTCTGAGGCCAGCTGTGTCTACGTAGGGAGTTCAGTGCCAGCCTGGACAATGTAGCAAGACCCTGTGTAAAGAAAACAAAAAGGAAAGGAAAAAAATACGGACTTTATATTTAAAATTCTCAGTTTCTTTTAAGTATTTTATATGAGAAAACCAATAATCACTTTCTTAAATATTTTCTGTGTCTTTAAAAAGTACTCATAATTTAGCTATGCTTGCTTCAGCAACACATATACTAAGAAATTTAGCTGAGGGCAGGGATGAATACCCACATCCCAGCTACTCAAGAGGCTAAGTTTGAAAGAACATGAATTTGAGGCCAGCTTCTTAGCAAGGCCTTGTCTCAAAAGGGAAAGTATTCATAATAAATTCATATTTATATGTAATGGTATTACATTAAATCATAAAAATAGTATTAAAAATAATTATTTTGCCAAACACACGTGTCCAAGCCCCGCCCCATTTTTGTTTGTTATATTTCTTGGCTGCTCTTCGACCTCTGAGCTCCCTCCTTCCTTCTGGCTCAGCCTCCTAAGTGCAACTGAGACAGAAGGTGTGTGCCACGGCATCTGGCTCTGTTCTTTTTTTTTTTTTTTTTTAAGGAAGAAAAACTTACGTAACAAGGATTAAGGAATAGTAAAAACATATTAATATGTTGAAGCGTAATATTGAATAATGAAAGTTAATCTGCCGGGTAAGAGTTTTATGTTGGCTCAGAGCTGGGTTTAGTACATGCTAGGCAAATGCTGTACCACTGAATTATAGACTCAGCTTAGAATTCCCTTTTTGTTGTTTTGTGTTTTGGTTTTTTTAAGACAGGGTCTCACTATGTAGTTCAGGTTGGTCTTAAACTCTGTGTAGCCCAGGCTGGTCTCAAACTTGGAGTGATCCTCCTGCCTCAGCCTCTGGAGTCCTGGGATTATAGGCATGCGACACTATACCTGGCTAGAATTCCTTTTTTTTGTTTGTTTGTTTGCAGGGGTTTTTTTGTTTTTGTTTTTGTTTTTGTTTTTGTTTTTGGTGGAACCAGGGATTGAACTCAGGCCCTTGCACTTGCCAGGGAAGCGCTTATTCTACTGAGCCATCTCCCCAGCCCCTCTATTTTTGACTTACCTGAAAAATAAGCCAAGTGGACAACATACTGATTTTTTAAATATATATGTAATAAGTTTATAAAAGTTTCATATATATATATGGGGTACGATGATATATTTCAGTGTATGTTTTGTCTAGCTTTTTCAAAGACATAGTATATTATTATTATCTATGGGGATTTTGGTTTGTTTGTTTGTTTTGTTTTTTTGTATTGGGAATCAAACTCGCAACCTTGCACTTGCCAGGCAGGCGCTGTGCCACTGAGCTATATCCCTGGCCCTATCGGTAGTCACCATGTTATGCAGTAGCCCACCAAACCTCCTCCTCCTCTCTGTTATTGCATGCCCTTGATCTGTCTTTCCCACCCCCAAGCCCAACTCCTTGACCTCTGGTACCTCCATTCTATCCTCAGCTTCTATGAGATCAACTCTTTTAGAGCCTACAGATGAGGGGAAGTCATCTGGTACTTGTCTTTTTGTGCCTAGGTTCTTTCACTTAAAATAACAAATCCAGTTGCATCTATGTTGTTACAAAGGACAAAATTTCATTCTTTTTAATACTGAGTAGTATTCCAGTATATAAATTCACATTTTAAAAGTATCTTCAGTAGTCAATAATAGTAGTGGGTTTTCTGTAAGACTGGCAATGTCAGAAGTTGTTGACTTGAGCCCTTTACACCTCAGCATATTAATATGGCTGTACTTTTTATACCTCGTGTTTATACTCTTGACCGCTGGATGGTAAGACCAAGATAAAGCAAGACCTATATAACAAGAAATGTAACTTCTATTTCTGATAAGTTCAGTCAAATCCCCTCAGGATTTACCCTGAAACCCTGTCCTGCAGTTTATAGATCCTTTGTCAGTGTCAGCCATGTGGATGTCACAATCTTCAGTAGTCAATAATAGTAGTGGGTTTTCCGTAAGACTGGCAATGTCAGATAATAGTAGTGGGTTTATCAATTTGCTCTCTGTGAAAGCCTGAGAATGTTTTCTCTCTATGTGACTCTCCTTAGGCATGCTCTACATCCT